AAAAACAGTGAGAGACATAATCATAGGTTGAATATGTTCAGATATATTGAAGAGTTACTTTCATAGTTGTTTTCTTGTCAAAAATTAGTTTCTTTTTGAGATTTGAGTAAGAATATTTTAGAGTGGATTAGGGCGTAATTTACTGATACCCTGATTGATCTATTTCACATGAACATGAATATGGTTGTTATAATTTTCTCAGTTCGTCACAAGATCAAGCAATAATCATCTCCAAGTCTTTGTGACGCCTTTTAATAATAACTAACATACCACTTACGAGGGTGTGAGTGTGGCTAAATAGAGAACTACCGCAACAATCACAACTGCATCCATCCAAACTGTTAAAACTGTTTGATATAGCCCAGAAACCATGTTTAAAGGGTGATCATGCGTTAAACAATTAAACTTTATAAACTAGTTTATACATTGGTTTCTTCGTTTACTTGTCTGGGTTGGAATCCTATTGAATTATTTGTTGCACCTACGTGTTCTATTTATCAGTAGAATATGAGATGAAATGGCACCAACTACTTGGTGAGGCTCTCACATTAATAAATACAATAAAGTAGATCTTCTATGGCAAATAATCTGCTACAACCAAAACATCGGTTTGATAAATAAAACTATTTAAAACACAAGAATACTTTTTGAACCTTTAAAAGAATGCTGGGATACAAAATAATCATCTGTGATCTTTTAACAAAGTCAAATAAATCATTTTCTGTATCTCGAACTGTTACTGTGTGAAGACGTTGAAGATGAAAAATTGAATTTTCGAAAACTCGACATTGTTTTCTTTTTCTTTATAATGAAAATGGAAAATCGAACTTCGATATATCCCAGTGAAAAGTGTTGGCTACACTTAAAGACCAAACTTAGATTTTGATTACATAAAATAGCGAATTAAAATTCAAAATATTGAATACCAAGAATGGAAAAAAAACGATTAGAATGTAAGAAAGAAGAAAAGAAAAAAGCTTCTAATGTTTAGCCTGAAATATCACATATAGCTCAGCAATATCTCATTTTGAAGAAAAACCATTTCTCTATATGAATTTATGTTTCGATAAGTTTTCACTGTTCAAAACACATGTGGAGAATCTTAGCAAATTGAATGGTGATAAAATACAATTTTCCGTAATCGGTCTAAAAAAATTCATAACTCCAGAAGAAAAAGTTAGAGAGAGAGAGAGAGAGAGAGAGAGAGAGAGAGCTGAGCGATGTGTCATTTTGTTGGAGAAACTTAACTGTATATAGTGGCATATCTAACTCGAAAATTGAAACTCTTAATAACAAGGAGAACAAGGAATATTCTCGAACAAATTCCGTTTTCAATTTTGATCGCAGTTAACTGATGGCAAAGAAAACTTCGTTCTATTGGTATATTAGCTTCAATCAATGCGTCTTTTGAGTCGAAGTCAGATAGCTATTGGATAGCTAGTCTTTTGTATTTGGAACTTTGCAACTATGGTCGGTACAGCAGTAAGCTTAAACTTTCAAACTTGTGATGTCTTCTGCGATGACTCGAAAACAACACTTAAAGGTGAGAAAAAAAAATTTTCTATAAAACTTGAGCAGTTTTCTGTATTAATTATTTGTATATATAGTGATATTTAAAAATATCTGCTCGTTCGAACGGTGTTCGAAATGAGACTCTTGCATCAATAGTAAAAGCGACATATCAAAAACAAAAATTACTCTCAACTTTTCTTCGTCTCGGTATAGTCACATATCTCTGCTATTTGGATGATGAAACAGCTCCTGAATCAATATAATATCGTTTATTGACACAATTATGAAAAGTAAGTCAAGTTTTCGACTTCAACATATTGTAAATTTTACTTTAATACTGTCGTACTACAGCTTATCATTGTATATGTAACTTGTTGGTAAGCACAGCCATAATAATTACAATTGTCTATGCACGTCCAATCATTTATAAAGTATTCTATATCATATTCATATGCTCATTTTGATGATTTTTATTCAAAATTTTCATCAAAAGATTTACTATTATCATGCCATCATGTACCAGCTTTTAATCTTGTTAGTATGGTGATTCAGTAAAATAAAGTAAGCACAAACTATGCTATTTTTCTTCATGATTTAGTACACAAATTGAGATACAAAAGAAACCAATTTCTTGTTTAAAAGAATCGAATCGAAAGTAGAAAGATTTAATAGAAAATAAAATGAAGTGACAGTGCTATTTGAAAACAGACTTACATCGATAATTCAACTATGCAGAATTGATTTTGAAAAACAAATATCAGCGTCATTTATTCTAATTTTTAAGAACGTCCAAATAGGAGTGACATAGTATGCGCATGTATGTAAATCTTTTCTTTTTGATTTTAATGACCTACTTGAAGGATGCGAGAAACATTTCTTTTTATCCATCATAAATGTCTCATAAGTATTGTAATCTCATATTATTTATGTTATTTTATCATATTTTTATCTAGAATACTTTAAATGCTGAATCACGAGCCTTATCAAGGATGAACTATCATACAGTAATTGATTAAAAAGCATTAATAATACGGCAAGTTCATTTGATACCATTTCTAAACTTCTCATAAAGTTCCTTTGAGAATTTCTGTGATAGCAAAACCTTTATGCTTCTCATGATTGATAAAATATGTTTTGATAAACGGATGTTTCAAGGAATTTTTCAGTCTCAGTTTTTAGACCTACTTATTTCGTACAAAAATTTTGAAAACTATACTACCGTATAGTGTGTATGTAATTTACAGAAATCATCTTTATTCCAAGTCATCGTGATATGACGAGTGTTTAGTCTGTGAAAGAAAACTGGATACGATAATAAATGTGATTAGCTGCACTCATTTATTGTATTCTACCTGTTGGTAGATCAATAGCGTCATCATCTAATTTTCCTGTTGTTTTTTTCTCCTCAAATATTCACTTGTCTTCTCTTTCTTACTTTACATATACAATCAGCTCAATATTGACTTACATTTATATTTATTACGGCCGATAAAGGCTTTTGCTGTATATATAACAAGTAACGAGACGTGAATATCGCGAAGTCTCTACTAAAAGGATGTGATCATGTTAAACCTATACTAAACGACCACAAGTAACGTGACGTGTACACTGAACACTGTTGTTTGGATGCTTCTGTACAATTGCAAATCGAAATATGAATAATTACAGTGCTCGTCAAATGAACTTTTATATCCGATGAGAAGGTGTGGATTTCAGTCTTCTCTATGAAGCATAGAGCAATGATTTCGCTAGCATTTGAAAGATTAAATCGACATTTGGCGTAATCTAAAGATTAATGAAAAATAAAGATCGAGAATGTATGAGCTAAAATAAGAGCTGATCTGATAAAACAATTACAAAGACATTTCTCTTGACATTACTAAATTTAATTTCAAGTTTGAGTTTTAATGCCAAACTTTATCACACCGAGTTGTTTTGAACTTGATTGAACTCAAATGCCAAAAGCTCAATCTTCATTTTCTATCCTGAGGTGAGTTTAAAATAAAAATTTAGGGAAAGGCAATTTTTGAACAGTTTTCAAGATCATCTGCAATCCGCGAATATTTTAATATTCTAACAGAACATCTTTCAGTTCAACATTCTGATTTAGGATTGGTATATTTAATTCTAGAAAATTGCCATCATCGACAACGCAATTAACCTGAAACTGTACAAAATTTGCGACAAAGTTATGAAATTGCTGCTCAATACGTTGGACACACATTCTCTCAGATTATATTGTCTGGTCTCTATTGCGAGCGTATATACAGAGCAAAACAACTATAATGATGCATTAACCACATTCGAGCATGGCAAAGGCTTGATAAAAAAAAAAAAAGAATTGAACAAATTTTCCAAAAATTCTGCTATAAATCTTTTAGAGAACATCGCTACGATATCTTGAGCACAAAATTTAAGACATCAAGAGCGCAGAGAGTATGATGAAGCTTTATTCAGATTTCGATACTGTTGGATAATTCAAATAAATTCTTTAACACTCGACCATCAAGACCTAGTAAACATTTATGAAGGTATCGCAAATCTTCTCAAAGATATAAGCAACTATTCAGATGCATTAATTAATTATCAAAACCCTCGAGATATTTGGCAGCATTGTCTATCGTCCACAGATTCAAAAATTGCTACTGATTGGAAAGAAATGGACCTCACCCACTTGTTCTTATGTCAATACGATGATACATTGATTGCATTCAACAAATATTTGCAAAATCAAGCGATTTCGCTTCCACTGAATCACTCTGATCTTGCCAATACTTACAATTTGATTGATTTCAGTCTTGCCAATCAAGAAACTTATTCCGATGCACTTACTCATCATCAAAATCCTGTGAATATCCGAGTCAAATATTTATCATCCACGGACCCAAATATTATGGTATTGGTTGTAGTTAGCCTTAATTTACATTGTGAGGTAACAGTACGATGATGCTTTCTCCGTTTTCAACAAAGCGGCCATGGAGTTTCACTGAAATACATTACTAATCATGCACATTAATACCTCTAATGCAAGCTCACTGTGATGTTAGTTGGCCTTGAAATGATCTACTTGCTTGTACATGCGAGTTTTTGTAGAATTCCAATAATCATGTACTTACGTGTGATCATTAGTTTGGCATGGTCATGTGAACTATACCTCTTGCATAAACATGGAAATGTATTACAATGCATGTCTACGCAGACAGTGTTGTCTTGCATATTAACATGAAAATTTCGACAGCCTACTTGTTCATATATAAATATGAGAGCATGAAAAAATTTTTGCAACCACATGGATTTTTTGGGCTTTCACGTTTGACTAGTTAGTAGTTGTCGGAAGACTTTTCCGTCCTGTGATGAATGCAGTTTTTATTTCGAAACTCTTTTAACAATTATAGACCTAAATTATGTAAAGAAAAAAAAAGTCATTACAAGATCTGATTTTAGACCATTAATAATTTGAGCATCCATCGAAAAATGAATGAGTACAGTTAGCCTTGTTCAGGCGTGAGAGATTTGAAAGAATTGTAAATAATATTTCCAATATGTGAAGTTACAGATGCATACGTATTGTTTCGATTTTTAAGGAGTTCTTTGACGAATGCTAAAGGGTTAGAATTGAATCGAGCTCGATCAATCTGTAAATGGCAACGATGTTCCGGCTCTTGAACAAATCCATCAAGTGCAATCCAACCGTTTTCAAAGGCATCTTCTTCGATTGTCGTTCGAGGTTTGAGACACAAAGCTAAACATTGACAATAGGCTGTTTCTTCCTCAACAGTTTCGAAATAAATTGTACCGTTGAAGACGAATAATTGAGCCAACCAATCCACGGGTAAAACGAAATCGATAGCATCATGAGGAATCGTCAGAGCTGGTGTATGGGCGAAGATTGATTGATTTCGCTTGAGACGTGGTAGTAATAAGCGTAATGTAGTGATTGAGGGTACGTGTAATTCTTCCTGGTGATAAAGATGGTGCAATTGTCCCATTAACCAATTGGCTTCAAAAGCGTTGACAAAAATAATATGCTCATTTCGATAGACTACTATCCAACGTGGAGGACGTAAAAATAGATCTAATGATTCTTCTTTGTTTTCAATTACTCGTTGAAATTCTGTCGAAATCCAAAAATTTGGTTGCCAATTATTAGGTTGACATACTTCAAAGAATGTTGAATCGATGAAAGCATATGCTAAGGGACAAAATACCAAAGGTAATTCGGCCAAGTCCAGCATGGAGTCCTCTGGATTACATAGCCTTTTGATTTCTTCATGAAGTATAGGTTCGCATGGACGAACAGGTCGAGAACTCTTTTGTTCGTGTTCTTGTTCTCGTTCTTGTTCTAACTCTTGTTCTAATTCTCTTTGTTGCTCTTCATCCAAAAATTGCGACAGACGTTGTTTCGATCCACCATACGTATATATTCGTTGTAATACAGCATGATGAAGCTCTTCGGAGTCATGAATAATCGAATGTTGATAGCGAATTGTGTAAATCTCTGATATGGTTTGTAATACTCTAGGTGCACCATACATTTGTTTCAATTCAAGAATTTCCGGTTCTAAACATTTCTCCGCTAACTCTTCCATCATTTGATCTGTATAAATTTGCTGATGATCAGTCCACTGAATGTTTCGAAAGGCGTTGACTTTCCGTTGATAACTAAGACTTTGTACTGCCCAGTGATGCAATCCATCCCAAGTAGCATGTTGTGTATTCTCGTATACCCAACGCAGAATATCTTTGACCTGACAAGAATCATTGTGTTTGTACTGTAATAAATTTGTCTTCAACAACATAATTTGTCGATGTACTTCATCTGAACTCCAAAATGTCAATGAATGGCCTTCTCCTAGTTTACGCATTCTCATACACGCTTGCACAAAACGATCCTTGGTTAAACCATTTCCTAAGGTAACTGCAGCTTTGAATCCACTTGGAAACTTGAAATCAGTTCCTCGTGTATGCACTTCATCTAAATAAATAACACAACGATCAAGTCGTTCGCTTGCAGGTGATGTTAGAAAGGAATGATGATGAAATTGTCGATCACAAACAACGATACAATTGGATTCGAAATAAATCGCATAATCAATCTTAGCTTTATCCGATAGTTTCAACCAATGGATTGCAATGCTACGATTTGTACCATCGATAAATAGAGCACCCACATCGAGAATGACGTTGATTGTTGGTTCATAATTGACAATTTCAGATAATATCGTCTCTGAGATCGCATTGACCGATAAATGTTGATAATTTTCATTTTCCGGTTGTAATAAATTATTAACGACAATGGCATCAGTTTGTTGCAACTGATATAAATCACATTGATGAATATGCAAGGGTAATAGCAATTGTGTATCATTTGTACCACTGAATCCGGTAACAATATTTGTTCGTACGGCTGAAGATAAATCCCAAGCTGAGGAAACCAATTTATGAGGAAATTGTTTCGCTTCTCGAGGAAAGACAAAGTGGTTCAAGAAATAATTGATCACTAACATATTGTAGCGTAGAATGAGGCAAATTTGACGAAATTCTTGCTGACCGTCTTTCCGATTGATTCCTTTCCATTGTGTGATACTTTGAGAAACATCATTTTCATCTTCCTGTGAAATCCATTCAGCATAGATCGATCCTGGGTCTCGTTCTTCTTCATTTAAACGATTGAAGCATTGAAGTATCTGCGAATCATTCAAACCACTGTAGTAGTACGAAAGTTGTGTTAGGAGAAGTGCAATATCTGGATGACCGAATTCGGTTCTTTCGGCAGGAACGTCCTTAGCTCGAAATGGTACAGCCATCAATCGATTAAAACTCGAATGGAGATTGACACCATATTGAACTCGATACCGTTTTTTCAAAGCAACCAATAAGACTTCGGCAGATAGTAAACCGCGAAGAATAAGAAACGATTGAATATCATTCGATGGGAATCGATCGCCGAAAACATCAATTGAGGTTTTCATATTGAAAATAAACGATAAAATACACTGTTTATCCATTTGTCGATATGATTTCTGATTAAGCCAGTCATTGGCAATTGTTGCAGATAATTTAGGAAATGGCCGATCTGATAATAACCGAAATTCCGGAAAAGCACTTTTACGTTTCGGTGGTTTATAGCAAATATCATCAGAATCAGTTTGTACGATATCCGCAGCAAATTTTTTAACTAAGTTTAAAATCAACTGAATAAATTTCCAGCGTTCCACACCTCCGTCTACTTGTTGTTGAGCACCAACTGTATAAATTAATTGATATTTACAATGTAAAATTTCATCGGATTCATCTAAAACATCTCGAACAAATGTTTTTAACCATCGTTGTACCATTAACATTGAACGAGCCGTGTCAAATTCATGTCGTCGACATTTATCGATCGTTAACAAATCGAACGAAAGAATGGCTTCGGGTGAAACTAATATGATATCACAACGACGTAATCCTTGTTGAAGTCGATCGAAAATTTGATTCATTTGAACTTTGTTAAAATCCATATCACGACGACAAACCAATGAAAAAATACGTCGATTCAATAAACCTCCTAATTTAAATCTTAACGATTGATAATTCATGTAAAATAATGATTTCAAAACTATGACACGAACCAAACTTGATAAAGGTGAACATAAGCTAAGTGCTAACATGGGTATAATGACGGACGTTTTTCCTTCACCCATATTCATTTGCATAACGATATTTCTTACTTGAGCATCATCTAGTGAGAGTCGCATCATGTGACGAGCAACATCCACTTGAACTGCACGAATTGTTATGTTCATTTCTAGTTCGAAGATTAACCATGGCAAATGTTTCGATGGTGTCCAATTGATATGAGGGGTATTCAATAGTTCTTTTTCGAATCCTTCTCGCTCATTGTGATAAGCAAAATGTAAAGCTCTCTCGAGTTGTTGTTCCACAATCCAATTGACTATAAGTCCCCCAAGAAGTGTACATTGATCTTTGGTTAAGAGAGACTTGACAGGTTTTTTATATTCTTCATTGAACCAGATCTGTTGAAACAGAGATATGAGAATGGCTGGAGTCGTTCTTGGTACCAAACCTATTTGGAATAATTGTTCATTGGCAGTAGTGATGGATTTAATTAATTCTTTCCAAAATTGAGTTGATTCTTGTTGAAAAGATTGAAGAACTTCGGTGATTTCTTTCTGGGAAGAATATTCTCTGTGGTAAGTTTCAATAGATTGTAGTCGTTTCCAACTTTCCGCTAAGTGATTCTTAAAATAATTGCCGATTTCACTGAGATGATTATGTTGATCGTCGATAGAAGAGAAAATATCGGCTGGAAACTGCTTTTGTAGACTAAGATTTTGAAGAATGAATGTTGACTTAATAAAAGAGTTCGAATTTGGATAAAAATATTTTTGCTGAGCATTGAGAAGTAGCTGTGAATCGAGTTTTTTCTCCGTTGATTTAACTTCTATTTGATGATGATCTTCGATTGCTTTCTGTAAAAACTTTTGAGGATAAACAGGTACTCGAGTGTTCCATGGAATAAGATCAAAAGAGCAGATTAGGTTTTGAATGGTGATTAGAAATGTCTGAAGTTTTCGATTCAATTGCCAAGATTTCAAAAAAAATTTTATTTGATGTTTCTCTTCGGAAGTTGCCAGACGACAATGATCTTTGTAGGTATGACCTGTCTCTAAACAATGTTTCATTTCTTCCATAATTGTTCTACGTTCACTTGCTGAATGGTGCCAGTCGAAATCAATCGCATTCATGATCACTGAAATTTGTTGAACGTTATGATATTGAGTAAATGGGGGAAATGTGACTGATTTCAGTGATAGAGAAGGTCCTTGCAAGACAGTGTTTAACATTTGCAAATAAATTGATCGAATTGCATGTTTGCCAGATATATAATGAAGAAAGTCTAATAGCAGTTGAAATCGTTCGAGTTCTTCTTTGCCATGACTACTTGCAGCTGTCTTGATCGAATCAGCTAGTTTTAACAAACCAATCCAAACAATGTTCAGTCTGTATTCATCAGTAAGCCATTGAGACAATGGGAAGCAACGAATTTCTGAAATGTCCTTAAGACGCACATCTCCACTACGATACATGTCATTAACATGATGATCCTGTTCATGGCTTGCAACCGACGAATCATATCCGTAAGTCTGATGATATGGCGCTTCCGTTGTTTTATCCAGTAGTTCTTCTTCCATTTCGGTGGATAATCGAGCAATCGGGTTGTATGAATGATGATAGTCCCAATATAGTTTTGTCAATAATTGTTCATCATATTCATTCTCATCGGCTAGTTTTAACATCTCTTTCGAATGTGGTGATAGATGCATGAAATTGAATTTTTCACTAGTATCGATGAGTTTTTTTGCTATCAGATAATAGCCACAATGTTGTAATGAATACGGGATACTATGATACTTCCAATTAATCTTTTGCATGCAAGTACAATATTGTCGAGAATAATTCGCACTAGGTGAAATGACAGCAATTTGACGAAGAATATGTAAAGAAAGTGCATCGAACGGTTGATCAGTCCAGCAACCAGCGGAATTGAGCAATTGAAAAGCACGTTCCATTCCAGTCATACCAGTATATTGATCAGGTAGAGGATGCGATGTCAGAGCATGAAGTAATGCCAGATACAACCATCCAGTAGGACTATCCGTTGATTGAATAATACGCAATCGATCGTTCATAATAAAAACAAAATATTGATAAGCATATGGCATTGATGACTTTCGTTGAATAGTAACAATCTGATGGTCAGTAGACGATCTTTGTCTTACATCGACATGCCCGAAAGGAACGATCAATTTTCGGGTATGATTGAATCCTTTCGTTGACGATAGAAGTAGACCAAATTTCAAACCTGTCAGTGTTCCTAACCATTGATCTTCATCAATACACATATTCGAGTATTCACGTGAAGTAAAACAATGGTTGCTTACATCGTATTTGAAAGCAATGGCTAAGCGTGAAAGATGAATATGAATAACGGTTGATGCAGCATCTCTCATCATATACACATAGGGCTTTTCATCGAGACGACTGAAATACCGTGTAAACCAATTCTGGAAGAGTGACGACGATTGATTAACTAAAATCTGTGTTTTCATAATATTGGTAGCCGTTAGATAGCCTGTTTCGATATTTAACACGTATGGTTTGTAATTGAAAAAATCCGGATCTTTAAAATGAATCGGTCGAAACTCGATTGTCTGGTCTTTTATATTTCTCCAATGGCTATATTCGGAGACAAATGTGATTGGTAATTCAGTTTCAAAACATTTCGAAGGTATCAGTTCAAATATATCATTAGTCTTGATGTGTCGTTCATGAACAATTAACCGATTCAGTTGATCATCAAAATGAAATTCATATCGAACTCGACCGTCATCAGGATAAGTATATTTGGTAATATACGTATTGGGTGAGTCACTCACTTGTACTTGAAAGATATAATGTTTAAAAACACGAACGTATAATTCATTGGAGATAATTTTTTCCGGTAAATAACCAACACTCATCCCATTCACTAAAAATATGCCTCGTAAACAGTCAATCGATAAATAAGTCGATTCATATTGACCATCGTACCAACTATCATAGATATCTTTGTTTCGTTTCTTCCATTGACCATCGATTGTACCTTCATTTCTAATCACTGCCCAATAGATAGCAGAAAAATCATTTAAACTTCGATAGGACAATTTTTGCAGGAATTCTCCTATTGTGGGCTGGATTTGTACTAAGATATGTTCACTTAATCGGATTAGATTTTTAACAAAGATGCTCATAGATGTTTGCTTCTTGTTTAAAATGAGATGATCATGTACGGTTGTTGCTGCTTTTAGTAATGAGATCATATGTTGATTCGATGACAAAACACAATGGATGCGGTCCGTATGAGTTGAAAATGTAAACAGACAGGCCACACCTATGGTCATCATAGTAAGGCGAAGGTTTTCTATTTCATCCAAACCTGATATTGAAATCATATCGATCCATTTTTCACCAATGCTACGGCATTTAAGAGCTAAATCGGTAACTTTATCTTCTCGGGTTGAATTGCATACAGTTAACACTCTCATAGTAATCATTGTAATCACCACTAGTATCAATTCATTCTGCCAATTCGATGCACAATCATCTAAATGACAATTCAATCTCACAAGCAATTCGTCAACAAAATAATCATCCAATAGTTGCTGATGGGACTCAGGACACCAAGAAAATACAAGTTCATCAGGATTTTCGGTCATTGGGCCATATTGCAATATGGTATGAATAATCAGTATAGCAACACTTTCCTCATTCAACGACAAAGAATCCATCTCCAACATGGCCAACAGATTCCACCATTGCAATCGATGACCCGAACGAAATGACCCAAATTCAATAAATTGATTTGTTTTGAGTTGATGTTGAGTATGTGAAAGATCAGCTATGACACGATTTTGTACGAATTTTGTCGATGCGATAGAGTACTGTAGATGTTTGTATTCAGGATGATTCAGCTGAGGTGTTAATCGTTGACACTCGTCGTGGAATGGAAGTGATTGAGTGGGTGATATTCCAACTTGTAGACTATTTTCATATAAAAAGTCATCGATCGATGCCAATGCAATCGATGGATTTGAAATGTGACTTTGCGTAATTGAATTGGTGGAAGAAACCAACTTAACTTTGCAATCACTTGGACCCGTAAATAATGGCTCGAATATGCATGAATGAGGACGAACTCTTAACCATTCATACATGCGACTATCTGGTCGATGTTGAGATCGATTGATAAATAGCCAAAGGACATCACGATAACATCTGACTTCAGTTGGCATTCGTAATTCAAACATAACAGCCAAAGCACTGGCTCGTCGAGATGGTATTGGACATTCGTAGATGCTGACTTCAATATTGTCTGCTTGTTGCTCAATTCGACATCGACGGCATTGCCTAGAATCAAGTGCACTATAACACGTACAATGACAACCATTGATTGAATTCATAAGCCGATGATATCTATCTTTGGCGCGTCGTACTTCCTGAATTTTCTCTGTCTTGTCTTTATCAACTTGGACTTCGATTTTTTGAAGACAATTATTTATCTTAGTCGATTGAGATGCAAAATAAACACCGAAACTATTTTCTTCCTCAATATTGGTCAAAAGATCAGGATATGATTGATGTGTAAACTTGTTGAAATACTCGTAGAGATTGCGAGCTCGCATCATATCTTCACGATTCGGTAAGACCAAAAATTCGAAAAGATCCATCATATTTGGATTGTCAATGCAATGAAATTGTAATCGTTTAAGTTTCTTATCTTGACATAACTTTTGGTGCATAGCACGAATTATTGTTAATGATGTCAGAAGAAATCGACTATAACCGATCGGATCTGTTGGACATTGTTCCGGACAATAATGCATTAGTGCACGATTCTGGTAATCTTCGAAGAATCTTAATAACATTTGAAAATGTTCTGTTTCTTTTCGACATGATGCCGGTTGACTCATCCATTTCTCTGACCATGACGTAACCCAAATTTCCATATAACTCAAAGCTATCCCAATTGTATATTTGAATTGATTGGTTAAAATATTGAAAGAAGGAATGAAATGTTCTTGCTCAATATCAATGGTATCATCATAGTTAGAGAAGTTGAAAGATATTTTGTTTGAGTTTTTCAAATTATCATTATTTAAATAATTTTTCAATGCTTCACATGAATGTCGATAGAGTTTCGCGTCATCCAGATTCAAATCGATCAGTAGTTGTTTGTTGTTATGTTCTTCATCGATCTGAATTGATGTTTGCCAATCCATATTCGGAAAGATTTCATCAATCTTTTTCTGTATGTCATGTTTCATCAATTGAATCCATGTGTTGATATCATTAAATTCTATCATCGACAACAAACTTTCGATTTTATTTAATCGACGAAGAATTTTTCGAAGACAATAAACTAATAGATCAATGGATAGAACAGAATCAGCTGAAGTTTGTCTTGTGTAAATCATATGTGTTAAAAAATGAGTAATCAATAATTTATAAACAATCGTACCAATATGTCCTAAATGTTTGGTTAGAATAGTTTGAAAAATCACCTTGATCGTCATCCATAAACCTGAACGTCGAAAAGGTAATTGTCCATTGTTCCATCTAACTTGATCACGATGCTTTTTATTGAATTGAACTAATGTATGAGAGCTATTTTCGATGGTTATTTCTGGAAATCGTTGAATCCACCACTGACATACATAATGTGATACAGGTACATCTTTTGTTTCCATTATTTCACGAGAGGCTTTATAAGATTTTGGATATTCAATCGTATTTTTCATGAAGTCTATTAATAATTCACAATGTACCGTTGAAGTTAGATAAGAACGATCAGATAATCTATAAGTTGTTACTGGAAAACAGGATAGTTGCGGTTGAATAGAAGATACAATTGTATCAGTTGATAATAGAACTTGCCAAGAAGAAATTAATGATTGATTGTTGTTGTTGTGATCAGTTTCGATCAAAATAGCAGCATTTTGTGCATGAAAATATATAGGAAGAAAACCACCAGTTGAAATTTGTCCAATGATGGATTGTAGATTAGATACTGAAAGTTTAGGACTTTTTTGTAAGAGAGACCAACGTTGTGTACAATCGATCAGAAGTCGAATGGTTGGTAATACCATGCTTTCATCGAACGAATTCAAGTATTCATTCATACATTCTAGTATTATATGTTCATTTCGATGATTGGATCGAATACAAAAATCAGACTCCGCAGAAGATGGCAGATAAAATGGAAGAAACAAATGATTTAAAATTGATTCATTCATTTCTTGTAACTGTTGAGCATGGTTATAGCCGTGCGGCATTCTTGCTAAAATTTTTCAAAAAAAAAATTAAGCAACAAACGTAACAAATTCAACTCTTTGAAAAACAAAAAGATTACGAAGAAATAGTTGCACATCGTGCATCTATGTAAAAATGTTGAACAAATCAAAAAAAAGAACAAATACAAGAACAAATGAAGACCTGTATATAAATACAAATATCTGAGTAGAAATGTCGTTCAATTAATATAACGAGAGAAGATCTAATCGCCGTACGGAGACCTTATAATGAGCAAAATATCATTTTGATCGACGAATATCACCTTGCCAGACATTCTCGTAAGTGTTAATGAGAAGTGAGGAAGGCTTTCTAAGATATTGATAATGTTTGAATTCATTCAATCTAAGATTTTCTTTAACAAATTGTATTATCATTCCATTGATTTTATCGACGACTTAATATTTAATTAATAGTCATATTTTATCACAATTACCAATATTCTACATTGCTAATAAAATATTTTGATAACATATGTTTCGACACTGAAATCAAATCGTCAGAATTTTTGTTACATGTTCTCTGCATATTTATTAATATAATATCATAATTGATTGTATGGTAAACTGGATTTTTTTGTATTAATTTTTTCTAACGTTAATAACACGTGTAAGAACATTTTTGTCTGCGTTGTTTTTACAACAACACGCATTGCATAATAACCAGAAGAAGTATCGTAGCTGCTTGTTTCTATTGGATCACCAGCAGAACAAAAGTACAGCGAATAAAAAAAAACATTTGATCAAAAAATAATAGCAAAGAACGATGTCGCTGTACACTATTAAAAAAGAATGAAATAATAAACTCTGAAAGAGTTTATGAAACGTTTAATGTCACTATTCAATTTACTATTACATTGTTGAATAAACATAAATTTCTAAGCACAGGAATTTTATTATTAAATAAAACTTTGTTCTTGTGATTGATTTTATTTAAGTAATGTAATAATACATCATTTTACTCAACATATAAAACAATTGTAAAAATAAAAAATTATTTAATATACTAAGTTAAACGAATAATAACATTGTGAAATTAAGATTAGGAAAAAAAACGATTAATTTAATAGTAAAATTCATTTGTTTCTGGATTTATTTGAGTTTGGCTTTACGATAGTAAGTTCAACTGAATATAAAACATAATTTTAGAGATACTATACTTGTTATATTGAGTAGGTATAGTAATGAACTCTTTTCATGAAAAGACAGACCAAAAAAACACTTAGTTGTAGAATAATAAAGTCTTGCTTTCATAAATCTTTTGTTTCATAAAACTTTGAAAGGTTTATGAAAAATTGTATACAGAGAAAAAGTTTATTATTCTACCTTTTTTTTCATTGCATTCACATTCATCTCTATATGTGAAATGTAGCTCCACAAAATTAAGATATAAAAATTATAAGATGTAAAATACGATAAGCAAACATAACATTAACTTCAAAATCAAAAACTTAAAAAGTAAGATTTGTCGCACCGTACGTTTCCCATTTTATTTAGACTTTTGCATTTGATCCGTCTTTTCACCGGCTGAGTCACGCTCCGCAATAAGTCGACGCAATTCCACCAAAAGTGCTTCACCTTCAGTCATATAGGTAGCGGAAGGCAATAATTTCTCTCTCCATACTTTCACACCCTGTTGCGCATGTTGCATTGCTTTTTCATAGTCATGAGTGTCTCGGTATGTTTCAGCTAAATTAACATGTACCGTCCCAGTTTCAGGATGATCATCTCCAAGTACCTTGATGCGCATTTCCAACGCTCTGTTTAAATACAGAAACGCCTGTTTATAGTCTTTCATTCTACGATATAATTCACCAATATTATTTAAAACGCGTGCTATATCTTCATGATCTTTATCGTGGTAAATTTTTTCAACGAGTTCCAAAACTTTAAATTGGTATTTTAAAGCTTGTTCATATTCATCTTTACATTCGTACACATTTGCTATACCACTCCAGACAAGAGCTGTTGCTGGATGCTCTTCGCCGACAGCATTTTCATTTATGACCAATGATTCACGTAAATAAGTCAACGCTTTTCCGTAATCAATTCCTGCTTCACCTGTAACACTGCCTAAGTTGTACAATATTTTACCTAAATCCATATGTTCAGGTGGTAGAGCACGCTTTCTCATGTCTAAGGCTGTTTTATAATAATGATAAGCTTTATTATATTCTCCACGGTGTTGATAGATCCTTCCAAGATTCATTTGACGTTGTGAAAAATCTGGATGATCAGTTGGAAGTTGAGCTTTTTTCATACATTCGTAAGCACTATCTAATTCTTGTTTAGCTTCATCAAAGTGACCGAGTGTCGCTTGTGCCATAGCAATATTCGTATGTAAAGCACCCTTAATTTGCCAGTAACCTGAACTCTGATTTGCGTTGTAAAGTTCTAACGATCTTCGATATTTTTCAATTGCCGAATTGTAATCTCCGAGAGTATTATCTAACCAGCCAAGATGATGTGTAATTTCAGACATTTTTAGCGAGTTTTCGTTCGTTTCTAAATCCTTTGCACTATAATAATATTTGTAAGCATTATCGTAGTCACCTTTAAGGGCATAGGCTCGTCCCAAATTGATACAAACATGAGTCTGATCTATATTCTCTTTATCAACTAATTGTTCAAAGTAATGAATTGACTTGTCATATTCGCCCATATCTGCGATAAGACGTCCAAATAGAATTTCAACACTCAACTGATTTAATTCTTTTTCATTGTAGCGAAGATATTCATTAGTTAATTCACTAGCATATGTTGACGTTCGCATGCGAATTGTGTATAAGCGTTTTTCTTCATCAGCAGTCACTTCTAAAATTTCAAACGTAGAATCTATATCAAACAAGACTTCGTTTTCATCAGGAAATTGACTCTTTTGACTAACATCAGCGGCTATAACATTAGTATCCTTGTCTATATCAATTTCAAACATCACTGAGACGCCATTCTCATCAGTGACATTCGTTGCATTGCTAGCAAAAACTTTAGCAACTTCAATATTTTTTGAAGTCGATAAATATCCAAATGTTGATACGAAAGTTCGTTGTCGAACAATATGTTTCAATTTCTTAAAACTTTCTTTGGGCAAGACAGCTCCACGATAAACACGTAATGTAGCTGGTAATTTTTGTCGTAATTCAGTTAATGCTTGTGATAAGTCTCGAATAAAATGTCGACATTTATATAATAAATCAATATCTTGTCGTCTTAATGCTTGATTGATAATATTTGAGAGTGATGTTTGACGTGAATACCAAAAGATAACATTACATGGATCATACCATTCAAGTTCATCTAGAAGTGTTTCAAGTTTTTTTTTATCATCATGATAGTAGTCTTTGATTTCTTCCTTGAAATCATTCATTGTCAATTCTTCATTGTCAGTTGTTAATTTTGCTATGAGACTTTTAAGTAATTGAAACCAGACATATGTAGCCAACTCTTTACTTAGATCCCGCATTGAATACTGTCTTGTAATGGCAATAGATGTAGATTTCTGTGCCTTCTCAATTGAATCGATCAACTCTGACTGTTTATCACAAATCGTCAATAACTTCAACGATTTTTCCTTCAAATGTTGATATTTTGCTAAGTTTAAACAATAGACAAATAGAAAATGTATTTGAGATAGATGTTCTGACAGTTGAATCATTTCCTCACAGAATTCACCAGAGACAATGACAAAGTACTCAAATGAGTTTTCGTTTGTCGATAAATATTCAATGGCTGGTGTTAAATTATCGAAAAAAAGTGATGAAGGATCGATTTTACGTAACAGTGAACCCAAATCATCGCTCCGCCAGTGTCAATCAATCCAAACCAATTGTATATCATCTTTGTGCAGGGGTTGAATTGAAGAGAAATCAATTGGTTCATGAAAACGATGAAAAGTGCTAGTAAATTGATGATTTTCACTAAATGCAATCAGTCGACACATATAGAGAAGAATGATGATAAAGCTCAGATAAATAGTTAATGGACTTGACATTAACGAAATAAAAAAATAAATAATCGTAAGAAACATTTTCGAAATTCTTTCTTTAGTAGAATAAATAACTTTAAATGACGAAGTTAGCTTCGACAAAAAAACTATTCTGTAAAAGTGTGTACTGCAATCGTCAAATATTGACTCAGTTTTTTCCGTTTTTTATTTCAATTGTTATTCATTTATCATCCGATTAAGAGCAGAACAATATAAAATGAAAAGAAAACTATGACGGATTGAAAGATGACGTTTGGTATTCACTTCTTATGAGTCAACTTTTTTACTATTCGAACATTTTTCTCTTCTCAAATGAAGGAAGGGTCATATAAAAAACAAAGACTTTGCTTACTTGCACGTGGAAAGTCACGTGTATTCGTGTAATGTTTTTTCTATAAAATTCAATCAGAGACAATCGAAGTCGAGTAGTTTGAATGTGTAATAGGCTTCGTAAAGTTCTGACTTAATTTTTTTTATTAAAAAGCTTCTTTTTGTGACAAGAGTAATTTTTTCACAAAGGGTGTAGGTGTGCGTCTGTCTATCACCCACACTGAAAGATGAGCACACCTTACATTCACCAATTCGATCGTTGTTTTCTTTTTTCATGGTCTTTCTCATTATCTTCTATTTTGATTTTATGTTTTTGTCGCTCATATATAAATATATATTTTTCTTTTAACTTAAGCTACAGATATAGAGCAATCGAGAAGGGGACACAAGACACACTCTTATAACACTTTCTATCGATTAGAATTCAACTAGTCATTAGAATGATCTACTATCTAGAATATGAAAAGTTGTTGCAAAAGCTGTA